TAAGATTGGTCCAGTCAGTGTGACTCATTCCTGTACACTGATTGTCATTACCTTGGTTAATTAACAAGTGAAGTCATCTTGAGCAGTTCTTTTCTGATCTACAGGCTTTAAGGGTTCAGTTGTTTTTATAATTTAGCTCAAGCATCAAAGCAACTACTGCACAATCGATGTCAAATTTGTTTGTGAATACTCCTGTGAATGTTAATTAGTCTTTGTAAGCTTTTAAAATGGCTGTGGAAGACTGAAATATATTCACAGCAGTTATCTTGTAAGTTTAGGTATTTTCCAGCTTGTTTAATACCAGCTCAGCACATTTACAGTAGATATATGGTCAGGTGGGATGTGACACTTTTAGAGAGTAAACAACGTTCGGGCTGTTTTAGCAAGCTCAACATAAAATACATAATCCCACATTCTCAGTAAACTTCAGGTCATTTGATTTAAAATATAAAACAAATACTAAATGCTACTGTGACACAAGTTAAGGATTATATAGCTACTAAAACTAAAACCTTTTTAAAATTTCAGTAAGCTGCTGAGATAATTTTTTTTAATTTTAATTTAATTTGACTGGACATGTTAAATGAAACAAAAATGAATATAAATATAGCAATTTATTTATATATAATATGAATTAAAAAATTATATTAAAATTGCTTTAAAAAGTAAGTATATTTAAGTATATACAATGCTATACATTAAGTATGTACGTATATTACAGATTTATATCTGTAAATAACAATAAATATAAATTCAAAATGTGTTCAATTCAGTTTGAAAAAGTACAATAGAATCACAATCATACTAAAATAAATATATCTAGAGTTATAGCATTTAATTTATTTAATTGAAATGTAAATTGTCTCAATGTTTAATTTTTTTATACATAATAAAAAGTATAAAATTAAATGTTTTAAAAATGTATTTAAAAAAGTTAATAAAACGTTAATCTAATCTTAGAGCCTAAACATGTCATATATATTTTCTTTATATGACATTTTATACATATATACAGTTTTATTAAGTTATCAATTAATAAATGTAACTAAGATTTTTTTTCTGCACTTTTTAAGACTTTAAACGTTTGTGATGTGTTTTTGTACACTTTGTATTGCACAGCACACAGATTGATATAAAGGCTATATATTGTATGCCAGCTTGCGTCCTCTAAATATGCAGGTGGAAAAGAGATTTCAGAGGCTCAGGTCAGGTCTGAACTGAGGAACGATGACCTATGGCTTGTTCAGGTGCTTTCTACTCTACAAATACACATACCAGCCTCTGTTTGCGCTGGCCCTGATACTTATGTACATGAAGTTGGCATTTGCGTAACTGTAAAATCAAATTTCCTGTTTGAGTAACAGACGGTTTTGTCCTGTCTAACAGTCAGGATTTAGGACAACGTAGTTTATTTTACAAATCCTGCATTATGTACAGAGACGATAATCAAAATTTTCCCCATTATGTCATAGTGATGAAAAAAGAAAAAGAAAACTGGTCTAGTTTTTGTCGACAATGTAAATGCACATGTACCGAGTCCCAAAAAGTCATTTTATTTAAATTTTTTATCTGTAAAATATTTCCTGAAAGGAAAAATAAGGAATTGCCATGCAATAATTTAGTCTCAACAGACAGAGGGATGGATGAACAGCTAGACAGAAATACAGACAAATGGGCAGATGGACGAATGGACAGACAGACAGACAGACAGACAGACAGACCGATAGATAGATAGATAGATAGATAGATAGATAGATAGATAGATAGATAGATAGATAGATAGATAGATAGATAGATAGATAGATAGATAGATAGATAGATAGATAGATAGATAGATAGATAGATAGACTTGAAAATAAGTTTTACTGCTTGTTTAAGCTACTTTTTAAAAATGAGCTGAAACAACACAATTTTTTAGATTTCTTGGGGACAACTTAACTTTTTTATGTCCAATCCACTTAAATTTGTTGAGTTAACTTACTTACAGGAACATGAATATATTGTGTGGAACCCTGCATTTTTTTGAGTAGATATATAGATAGGAAGCCAGAAAGATGGGTGGATGGATGGATGGATGGATGGATGGAGGGATGGATGGATGAATGGACGGACAGATAGATGGATGGACGGACGGACGGACGGACAGACAGACAGACAGATAGACAGACGGACGAACGGAGAGACAGACAAATGATAGATAGATTTGTTGATAGATTGATTGATAAATAATGGCATTTCCTCTGTCCAGCTGTATCTGAGCTGTGCATCATGTGCACGTGCAGAATGTTCAACAGAACAATGAACTCTTTTACATAAAGGCCACACTTTTCACCATGTGAGTTATTGCTGTTGTTTATTGTGCTAGAATTAACAGAGATTTAGAAAACACATTGAAATGTGGACCACTCACTCTCAATCGTATTCATAGAGATGAGTATGAGAGACCTTTCACTACTGGATGATGGGACAGACCTAGATAGCTAAATTTCTGAAAACATTATTCTACCACTTAATAAATACTCTGTCATCCTTTATAGTTGAAAGGCAAGGTTACTAGCCCACCCATTTTTTTTTTTCATCTAAATATTTCCCAAGTGATGTTTAACAGAGCATAAAAATGATCACAATATTTTCTATAACACTTTTTCTTCAGGAGAAAATCTTATTTCTTTTAGTTTGGCTGGAATATATATATATATATATATATATATATATATATATATATATATATATATATATATATATATATATATTAAAGAATGGTCAATATTATTAGCCCCTTTACAAATATAATTGTTTTTGTGATTGGCTTCTAAACAAACCACTGTTTTCCAATGACTAATCGTCCTAATTTACCTAGTTAAACTAATATCTTAAGCCTTTAAATTGTACTTTAAACTGAATACTATTGAAAAATATCTAGAAAAATATTATGTACTGTCATAATGGCAAAAACAACAGAAGTTAGTTATTAAACTAATATGTTGACAAATGTGTTGAAAAAAGTCTTTTCTCTGTTAAACATCACATGGAATATTTTAAAAAGAACTCAAATTTTACAAAATAGATAAGAATTTTGACTTCAACTGTAAATTGTTTTAAATGTGTAAGACATTAATTAACCTTTGTAACACAACTGAGGACATTTTTGAGATTTCTGTCCCAAACACCCACATCTCTCATACTTCAAAACATTTCTTGAATAGTTAAAAACATTAATCCATAAAAATCAAGGTATCAATCTCCAGTCTCCAGACATTATTTTTTATATAATGAATAGCTTGGCTGCATCTAAAATCACACTCTCCTTACTTCACAACAGCAAAAAAAAAAAAAAAGAAAAAAAAAAGAAGTTCTATAACGTATAAATAAGTGTATTATGAACGAAATCTGGATGTACTTCGAGAAAATACTAAGGGCCCTATCATACACCCAACGCAATGTGGCGCAAGGTGCAGATGCTCTGTTTACCTGTTTTCTCTCTAGTGAAGAGTTCAGTTTTTCCAATAACAAAGTCCGCCATGTAAATTACAAATGCACTATGGCGTGATGCAACTGACTCTTAAAGGGAATGGGAGATGGGTCTCTGATTGGTTTATTCTCAAAACACATCTATAACTCATTAAGAGAACCCTGTTAGACCATGCGTCACGGTGCAGAGCGGATTTTCCAGTCGTTAAAATAGTAAAAGTGGATTCGGATACGCCATTAATGCTTTTGCACCCTGTGCTTTGGTCTTTGCGCCTTGATCGTCAAAATAGAGCCCTAAATCTGTTCATCACATAATGATCATGTCTCTTCAAAAGATATGGATTTATTTACGAATTATTTACGAAATTTATTTAAGAACGTTCTAAAGTATTTGGGAAGAAAATGACTAAAATCTCTCCCATTTAATTAAAAATATCTTAATTTGTTTCTGAAAAAAAAGAGCAACAGTCCGAGCAGCCACAGGACATCAACATGATGTCAGATTGACGTTGCATCCCAACATTGTGGGACGTTGCATTTTGATTGGAAATGAAAATCGGGTTGATGCCAGAGCTAAAAGTCTGTCCTACGTTGGACATAAACATTGGCCTGACTGGGTTCTGACGTCAACTTTGGTTATCATTATCAACGTTGCATTTTCCAACACAATCTAAAAACAACAAAATATCAATGTCTAATGATGTTGCAGCTTGACGTTGTGTGGACGTTACCACTATGACATTTATCTGACGTTGGATTTTGGTTGCCATACCTGACAAATAAATGTCAGTAATTGACTTTAATATGACGTTGGTTTAAGATGTTGGCTCAACGTTGGATTTTGGTCACTTTCCAACACAACCTAAAATCAACAAAATATCAACGTCATTTCACATCATTATTGGACATCAAAAAAACACAGTCCAAAGACACTGGCGACCTAAATCTAACCTAATATTAATGTCTTAAGATGTTGTGTGTCTGCTGGGGTCTTATGGGTTTGTAACAACATACACTGTAAAAAAAAGTCTGTTAATTAGTATGTTCTGTATTTCATGATTCTATTTTTTTCTCTTTAATTATGGTTATGAGTTGCATTATGGTACTGTGATCTCTACTCTGTACACTTTTGATGTAAAAAACAACTTTTTCAACTTTTCAAACAACTTTTTTTTTTTTACTTTTCATTATCAAAAGTCATTATCAGAAGCTCATGGTCCCATGATGCAATGAATCCCATTACTGCAAGTATAAATAATTGGGGAAAAACATCACAAAATACAGAAAACTGGTAAATTATGGATATATTTACAGTCCAAGACTGAACAAGTGATAGCAAATTTTAGTTTGAAGTGAAAAACTGTCAAAAAGTTTAGTAATTGGTCTATATTTTTAAGTCATGAATTTAAGACACAGGCACAAAAAAATAAAACAGTAACTTTCCCTATTTGTCTCCATTTCCAAAAAAAAAAGCAAAACAACAACTCTGATTTAGCATTTTAATGATTAACATAAAGTCCATCCCACTGGAGAGGAGGAGGCCCTAGACTGTCAATCACAGCGAGCCTCATCTTTGCCCTTGAGGACATGGCCCCTGTCACTCAGAGGTGTCTACCCCTTCAAGAGGAGGGGCCTGGCCTATGAGGGGGTGTCCAAACGCTCTAGAGAGGACAAGTCTTTCCCCCCAGCATCAGGTAGATGAGAATGCGTTTGTCCAAACCACTAGTAGACATGGAGATGGCAGACTATAGCGAGGCCTTGGATCCAGCCTACACCACGCTGGAGTTTGAAAACATGCAAGTGCTTGCGATGAGCACAGGTGAGTCATTCGGAGTGAACTTTGAGACCTTTAGAGACTTTATATGGGCTTCTAAATGGTATATGGTCAAGCGTGGGAGGCAGGGTTGATAGGGTTATAGTGATTGCCAATTGGCAAGTTCGTAACCTCTTGCATGGAAAAGCCAATATAGCAGAAGCCAATTGAAAATAAATTTTTTGGTTGAAGATAAGCAGCACTGCATGCTCCGTCCTGCAGATATGGAAGTTCACAAGGAGAAGAGGTTCATCCGTTTCCTTTTGCTTGTTCTCATACAGCTGGCTTGGGATAAAATGACTTGTTTGGATAGTATTTCAAGAAGAAGTTTGACACCAGGATGAATGATTACTAGAAGAAGAGGGTGTCATGTAAATGTTTCGCAGCCAATCCTCCCATGTCTAAGTTTTGTGCAACAAATTGATATTCAACCGGTGTCAACCTGACACAAGTAATTTAATATGAATGGTAAGGTTATATTTAAAGTTTAAGTAAAGCAATAAGAGTCCAGTTTAAAAAATGTTTACATTTCAGTTTGATTGACATTTGAGATTTTTTTAATAACTCACAGCTAAAATGGAAACCGCTGAGGAGAATTGTTATACAGTAGAGTACATTCAAATTATTTTAATTATTATTTAATAAATTGCAATGAAATATATTGATCACAGATTATAATTTTTATATTTAAACATTTTTTGTCACAACCATAACCACAAACACCTAATGTGACAAATCAGATGATGATTTAGATGATCACTACATAATCACTCAAACTGATGAGCCATTTAAGGTTTGCCTTTGATCATTGCTTAGGTTTTAATGTGATTACTCTGACTGCCTCCAGCATCAAAATTAACAAGAATCGTTTTCTTAAAAATGATGAATGTTTAAATGGTTTCTGTCATCAGCATTAAATCCAATCAGATCTTTTTCTTCAACAAATTGATGTCCTGTTGTTTATGGAATAATCAATCATTCATAGAAAGTCAGTTTCATTAAAAACAAATATATTATTTACATATACATGAGTAACATTTCAGGTTGAAATTGTTTTGTAGGTCATCAAGAATGCTAATTAGAGTTTCTATAATCTAGCATGATCTTGTTGTAGCTTTTGTACAGATTTAGTTCTAATCTTTTCTGGATTACTAAGCAAACACTCCTTTCCAGCACATGTTTGTGATGACGATTCACTGCAAATTGATTGAGCTGTAAAAATGTATTTTCTAAAAGAATTTCTCACCCCATGACCTTTCCCCTATTTGATTTAACTCTGATAGGTCTGGAATAATTCTGACTTGTTAGGTCTGCAACCCACATTTTTAAGCGTCATTGAAAAAAGACAAATTTTATGCAATCACTTATCCTATTATTTTAAGTGCCTCTTCATTCTCTGACTATTTTTGTTGCATGAATAAAACTAAATCAATTTAGCACACTTTTGACTAAATTCAAAATCCCCTATGATTGCAGACTCCTCACCACAAGAAAGTGCCAACATGAATGCTGCCAACCACTTAGGGGCCGGCACTCTATGTGCCATTTGTGGGGACCGGGCCACAGGAAAGCACTACGGGGCCTCAAGCTGTGATGGATGCAAGGGGTTCTTCAGACGCAGTGTACGCAAAAACCACATGTACTCATGCAGGTTAGAGAAAATTAAATATTCTCTAAATTATGATCAAAAATCTGCAATAGTTTCCATCCAATGCATCTAACTATGTCTTTATGTTTCCTCACAGGTTCAACAGACAGTGCATAGTGGACAAAGACAAGAGAAATCAGTGTCGGTACTGCAGACTAAAGAAATGTTTTCGAGCTGGCATGAAAAAAGAAGGTACTTGCACATGTTGTTAGATTACATTCACATAAAACTAGCTAAAAACTAAAACTCTCTTGGCTTGTTTGGGAGGTTAGGGGATGAGGTGGCGCAAATAGGAGATGTTGCAACAGCATAGAGAGAGAGAGAGAGAGTTAGCGAGAGACATTTTGTTAATGTTCACTCAACAATGCACTGAAGTCTATGTCTGGTTTATGCTGAACAAACAGTTTAGAGCCATCATAACTGCACACTGATAAAAAAGTGCAACCTTGAGGACGGACGCAACCCCCCCTCTCACAAAGTCAGCTAATATTCCCCATCTCCGCTATCTCAATTGGTTGTCAGAACTGGGTGGCATTTGCTGCTACTGATAACGAAAGAAAATGTTTCAATGGTTTAACCAGAGTTGGGTTTTTTTTTTTTTTTAAAGTACAACATCCAAAAAAAGTGTTTCTTATTTTAATAATTTGTTGATTAAAAGTAGTTATCTCATCCTCAGCTGTGCAGAATGAACGAGACAGGATTAGCACCAGAAGATCCAGCTATGAGGACAGCAGCTTACCCTCCATAAACGCACTCATTCAGGCTGACGTTCTTTCTAGACAAGTAAGTAGTGTGAATCAAATCAAAGTACACAATAAGCAAATCCTGGTAAAACCTATAAACTTTAAACAAGACATCTGAAGGTTGGTTGCTTTGAAAAAGTGTAAACACTGCAGTGTTATCAAAACATTGCTTTGTTTGTTTAAGCATCCCAATCAGAACTACATAGCAACATTGATCTAACCAATGATGCTAGTTTGGGGCAGGACTATCTGATCAATGGTAGACGAGGGATTTGTTTAGGAAACCTGTTCGGAAACAGTCAATACATCTGCAGTTCTGCTGGGTGGTGCTATATCAATTCTACTTTATTATATGACTTGTACATTCTATGTTTATAGATAAAAATTATTACTATTCATTCATATATAAAATAATTTGTATTGTCATTTATTAGGCAAAAAAGAAAGTCTTAATGAATTTGTATTTTTATATCCAGAATTCTCTCAGTACTGTGAATTAATTAAACATTAAAACCTTTTTTTATTAAGGACTGCAAGTAAATAACTGTAACTGGGCAGCTGGTTACAAAAAATAAAACAATTTACTTATTTTTTCAGCCTTTCTTGTGAAACATTCATTTTGAAAATTCACAGATAACAATATTATATTTCAAAATTAGATATACTGTGTATGTGATTGTCCACACACGGGTGAATTAATCATTAAGTTATTGGAATTAAATTGAAAGATGCAATATACAAATGAAGGAACATGGTGATTAAAAAAAGAATACCACAACTTTGAAAATCGAGAACTCAACAATGAAGAAAATGAAAGCTTCTGTTGTTGATTTAAGGAAGCTCTGGAGTTTTATTAGGTTGCCTATTTGAATGAAAGGTACCCAAAGCAATAGATCGGCCGCCAGGCAGCCTGTGACAGAGCACTTCATCACTGGCCTCCAAGAAGCCCTGACCTCACCCCCTCAGTTTTTTTCAATAGGGTACGTTAAAAATATGGTTTACCACCTCTACTAGCTAACATTGAGGAACTAAAAGAAGAAATAACTGCAGCTATCCAATCTGTTATGCCCGAGATGCTAAAGAGAGTGTGGAATGAGTTCGAATAACAGGTTGATGTCACGAGTGTCTGAAGGGGGTCATATTGAACATCTATGAACTTGTTTTCTACTGAAAAAAAAAACGTTGTTAAGTACTCATCACATGGATTGATTATACGAAGTTCCATCATGTTTCTTTGATTAAATTTTCAAAGTTGTGGTATTCTTTTTGAATCTCCCCATTATTATTATATTCATTAAAGAAAGTAAAAATTTTGAGCAGCTGTGGTGGTCTCATAAATATGTTAGTGGTCTAATAATATTGTTATGCACTGTTTATAAGTAATAATAATAAGATTTAGTAGTAATGTTTATGTTTAAGAGATGTATAGCAAAATACTTATAAAGTATATACCCTCATATAGATTTCATCACCGGGTCCAATCTTGAATGGTGATATCAGAACAAAAAAGGTAGCCGCAATAATGGATGTGTGTGAGTCTATGAAACAGCAGCTGCTGGTGCTGGTGGAATGGGCAAAATACATCCCTGCATTCTGCGACCTCCCGCTGGATGATCAGGTAGGACAAGTTCCTCTTATTTATCTACAAATGTGTCCTTGCAATATTTACTTAAATGCATGTTGGTGTCGACTGAATCCGTGTTTTGTTTTCATTGGAAAAAAAGTTCAGAGATCTCTAGTTTGGGTGGTTAATGTATTTGGATGGCTCAGGTTAGAATATGATGAGCTGGTTTGAAAGTTACATCTCTTCTTGAGACATTCAGAATCATTAACACGCTGAGCACTGAGGCATGCTAACTTATCAGTGTTTTAGCTGTGGGTGAGAGCGTCTCAAACCGCATCTTCTCACACATGGAGACACGCTAAGACTAACCATATGGTCATCATAGAGACTTTAAACAATTCATTGATTTTATATGAAATATTCTAGACATGAAAAGAACTCTAAAGAAAATGTAAAAAAATAATAATATATTTCCATGTTTATTTGTCTCAGGTGGCTTTACTGCGAGCTCACGCTGGAGAACACCTCCTACTAGGAGCTGCCAAACGCTCCATGATGTATAAAGACATTTTACTATTAGGTAAGAAAAGACACATGCGAATATGAGTAGAGGCTTCAAACAATTTAACTAATGTTTTACCTTACATTTTTCCATGATTCTTGCAGGCAATGATCATATAATTCCTCGAAACTGCCCTGAATTGGAGGTGAGCCGTGTGGCTGTAAGAATCCTTGATGAGTTAGTACTTCCCTTCCAAGATCTCCAGATTGATGACAATGAATACGCCTGCTTAAAAGCCATTGTATTTTTCGATCCAGGTACATTAATCATCCTTAAAATGAGATAAGAAGAGCAGAATGTCAAGACTTTTTTTCCTAATGTGATGTTTTTTCTCAACTACTATAGACGCCAAAGGTTTAAGTGACCCAAGCAAGATCAAACGAATGCGGTATCAAGTTCAAGTTAGTTTGGAAGATTACATCAATGACCGACAGTATGACTCGCGGGGACGGTTCGGCGAGCTGCTTCTGCTGTTGCCGACACTACAGAGCATCACCTGGCAAATGATCGAGCAAATCCAGTTTGTTAAATTGTTTGGAATGGCGAAGATAGACAATCTGCTGCAAGAGATGCTTTTAGGAGGTAAATGACTTTTCTTGAAAAGACTTTGTTACAGCAATATGTTTAGAATTTAAGGCTCAATATGTAATTTTCCCCACTAGAGACTGTGGATTCACAAAAAACAAAGGCATAGTTTGATGATCTCCTGACAGTGTGAAATAATGGGAGTTTTCGTCTTCATTACACTCCTGTAGAAATTATGTTCATGGATGAGCTAAAGTATTTAAACTAATTTTCATGGTAGTGTGAAGCAGAGCAAGGCTGAATGTCGTTAAAGTGAAAGGAGACTGCTGAAACAACGTGGCAGAAAAGCTATGAAGCTTTTTTAGGATACAGTCCACAACTCCCAGTTCTTCTGCTTGTTACATGCTTAAGAAGCAGCTCTATTTTATCAGACTAAATACATTTTAAGGTTCTGTTATAATGCTGCTTTGTGGAGTCTAATAAAACACACAATATATTAAAGCATCTTTGGTGTTTTCCTGTGTTCTATAAAAAAAACTAACTGGAAACTGAAAGGGTTTGATGTCATTAGCATGGCGAAACAGTACATGGTCCAGTTAAAATTTGTTATTTCTCTAGGTTTGAACAATCTTTGAAATATTTAAATTAAATGTAAATACATAAGTATAAGCAAAAAATAAAACATTGTTCTAGTGGTTGTTGGATATTTTAATGAAGAAATCTTACATATAGTAAGTAACCCAGTAACTTCTGGGAACAACTTAATATTAAAAAAGATAGACACTTATATATACACAATACATTAAAATGAAAATCTGCCATTTTTAAGCTGCTTTTCCACTGATGGTACGACTCGGCTTAGCTTGATTTATTTGGCTCAGTTTGCTTTCAACTGCAGTTTGGTTTACTGCTTCAAAGTGGGTGGGAATTTAGAAATATCATTGTAGTCGCACTGTTGACATCATTATGGTTTACACAACCAGCCATTGAGAGAAACATCATTTTAAGTTTCATGTGACAGTCATTTATCATTATCTTGCTGTTGATTATTATGTTTTTTAATCAATCTGGTCACAGAAGCTCAAGCATGCTTGCTTGACACGGGAGAACCAATGAGGTCTAGCAGTATGTTTAAGCTTTCCGTTGTCTGTTCACTGATTGATGTTTCTTATGTGAATAAAAGTTCAATCAAAATCTGTCCATCATAAAAGCAATCACATTTCTTTGGAGCGCTTGGTTTTTGTTTGATTAACATGCATTTAATTTGTGACATGTTTAGAAAAAGGTTTTGCATAACATGAACAAAAGCCTCAATTTTCATTTTGCGGTAAACTAACCATTTAACCTCTTACTCTACAAGTTCTTCCCTCATTCTGACCTGTAAATGACCTTTCCAACCATAGATTTAACGACTTCCTTTTCCTGTCAGGTTCAGCTAATGAAGCACCTCACGCTCATCATTCTCTCCACCCCCATCTGGTCCAGGAACACCTCAGTAATAACGTCATAGTCACTGCCAACATGGCTACTCCACTTCACAATGGCCAGATGTGTAAGTAACCATCTTCCAGAACTGAACATTTCTCATGAACGAAGAATATAGGTCCTTTAAATGTGAGAACCATGGACAAACAGGCTTGCTTGTTGGGAGTAATCCCTGCCAGAATCGTAGAAACTAATCAGGCTTATTTTGTCAAAGAAAGCTACTGTAATGCTTTCCTACCCTAATGCCTTGAAAAATTTCATAAGCGTGCTTATTTTGTTGTCAACCAGTGGTTTCGTTCTTTCACATGTTATCATGCTATGCAAATTATCTCTATTAAAGGTGCCATAATACCCCATTGCTGACCCCTGATCTAATACATCCTCTTGCCCTTTTTTTTCCAAACAGCCACTCCGGAAACTCCAATCCCATCTCCCCCCACAGCTTCAGGTTCTGATCACTACAAAATGGCATCGGGTGTTATTGCTACAGTGCCCAAACAGCCAAGCTCCATCCCTCAACCTACCATCACTAAACAAGAGGCCATCTGATAGCAGAAAAGCACAACTCAACTTCTTAAACTCGCTACTTCTAATAGACTGTGACAATAGATATTTGGACACAGCATATTTTAAATGTATATTCACTAGCTGTTCAAATTAAAGTTTGTAGCAAAGACACTGTGAACATTGAGAATTTACTATTTTTAGAACTTTTTACCAAAATAATTGAGCTTAAAGGTTACTTTAGATATATAGATGTGGAACAATTTAAGAGACCACTTGAAAATTGTCAATTTATCTGGATTTTTTAGGTGTGGCGGCTTTAAGTAAAATGTTTATATATTTTTTTATTCTATCAAAGGACTATATTCTATTCTATATAAAATTTTTACAAAAGAAAATATCATCCACAGTGCCTACAGAAAATCTTCACACCCTATGAAAATCTATACGTTTGTGCACATTACGCACTGCTTTCAAAAGACCTTTGTGATAAAGTAGTAGAAACGCACAGATTATGAGAAGGCTACAAAAACATTTTAAAGACTGGAAAAGCTATTTGGAATGTGGTTTGATTTCAGGATGTATGACAAAGAAAGCTTCCCAGAGATGGGTTGTGGCTGGAAAGGCATTCGCTGCATAAAAACCTGCTGGATAAGTTGGCGGTTCATTCCGCTGTGGCGACCCCGGATTAATAAAGGGACTAAGCCGAGAAGAAAATGAATGAATGAATGAATGACAAAGAAAGCCATTATTTCAAAGGGGTATGATGATTTTTTTTAGGCACTTTTGAACATTTTATTTTCATTTGTCTGATTAAAAATCAGGCTTTTCCACTAAATATTTCAGCAAAAGTTTTTATTCTAAATTTGGAAGAAATGTTATCAGTACCTAACTGATAAAACGCCCAAAATAGGCAATGAACTATATGCACAGCTAGTGTTTTTCAGCCAATGATGATGATGAATGATGAACTTGGTTTATGTGACTATTTTCAATTTTATAAGGTTCCTTACATGGCATCGATGTTATAATGTAATTCAATCATAATCAGTTAAACAGACTTAAGCATCCATTTGGTTGTTAAAGTGTAAAAAGGGACGAAAAACCGTTTAAACGCAGGCGCCGTCATTGGCTGCAGATGAGCGCAAAAATTCCATTGAAAATACTTGAGTAAAATTAATTTCCATATTTTTAAGTCATGACATGGAAAAATATAATTTAATGCTGTGCTTCTTGTTTGGTCTGATACCCACTTTATATCGTATCTCAACCAGGCAGTGTAGATTGCTGTTTTTAAAGGAGTCAGATTTTAAAAGCTGCGATTTTGTATGGGATGACAATTAACAGGAAGCCCTGTGGCTGACTGACAGAAATTAAAAGTCTGTGTGCATAAAACCTATTAACCATAAATCCTTAATCCAAAGAAACTGAAAATTTTCAAATGGTCACTTATGGCTCTTTATGTTCATCCCATCTCATTTGTTCAAACTAGTGGTGCATATTTATATTATCCATTTAGCATTCAGAAAGAACCATTTAACAGAAAGGCTATGCAAATTTGGATATCTCTACAAGGAGTTTGAGTTCCATTAATATGTTACAGCAGGCCTGAATTTGATCAGATGTTTGTTCTAATTGTACAGTATTTTCACAGCTTGCTACAAACGACTGGCTCTTATAACACTTTTAGCCTGATAGAATACCTAAACATTTTGTGCCTTGGAAATGTTGTTATTTACCAAAATGCTGGTAATTATTGTTTGTATGCATAGAGTATGTGCATTTCATATTTTGTCTGTATGTGCCATACTTAAAATGTAAATATTACGACTTTCTTTTTTTTTCATAAGTCTACTTTAGAACAGAAAAAAACTTTGGTTTCCTGCTCAACCCCTTAACAATTGTGGCTAGTCAGTGATATATATTTCAGGAAAAAATGCCACATTCATTTATAGTTTCAAATATTGGTCATTTATAACCAATTGACAATTGCATCCTTCAAAGAGAAGGGTAATTTAAAACATGCAATGTGAACTGATATTAAATGTCAAGGCTATATTTTTACATAAAAGTGTGTTGTTGTTTATTTTCTTTATCTGCTGTCCATGGATATCATTTTAAATCTTATCTTTAAGTCACAAAAGCTGCTATGATAGTTAAATTAAATTCATCGTTATTCCTATAGTACTTTTACAATGTAGATGTTGTGTAAAAAGCAGCTTAACATGGAAGATCTAAATTGAAACTGTGTCTTTTCAGTTGAAGATTAGTTTCAGTTCAGTGTGGTTTAATTTCACTGCTGGAAGTACAAACACTGAAAAGCAAACCATTCTTTCAATAGTGGGTGTTTTGATAATACATTTCAGACAAAAAAAAAAAAAAAAATGAAACTAAAACAAACCTAACTATAACCAGTATAGTCTTTGGAGAGCATTTTGCAGCTTAAAGTGCATTAAGATTTCTTTTAAAAGGCAGGCCAATCATGATCACACATTTCCATCTCTCTCCAAACAACAAACCTTAGTTAATAGCAAAAGTTTTCCAGAGCAACTTTTCAGGCTCATAATCATCTCCAGCCGTAAAACCTGCTTCAAAACAAGATGATAAAAAGCGAGTATACGTGGCAGAGCATGGTCAAGGATTTTTAGTGCTGGGAGTGTGTGCTGCTCAACGCTGATAACAGACAATAAAACAATTCATAAAGCAGGCGCCTTTACTGATATAGTTTCTCTTAAGAAATCATTGTCGTGGAATCATATAACCAATTGTGTGCCAATTACTGAATGAACTCCAGGCTAATCAGATCTATAATTCAATAAAGCTGTATTCAAGATTCAACTATTTCATTACACCTAAGCAACCAAGATGTGACAGAAACTAACATGATGTATTAGCTGCATACAAAAAGTTAAGGTCGATTTTATAACCAAGACTAAGTCAATGAATGAATGATGCAGTTGCTTAAAAGTGTGACGCTTGCTGCCATTTTTGTGCAACAACACCTATTGTGTTGCCAACAATTGTCAGGGGAAGCTGCTGAAGGTAGGTTAAAGGTGCAGTAGGTGAATTTAGAAACAATTTTTTGTTTTCTTCACATTGCAAAAATAATGATTAAAGTACATGATCTAAATGTATTTATGTGTATTTTTATATTCTGGGTAAGGCATAAGACTAAATGTTCCCATAATTCTGATAAGTAGCCCAAACTGCCTGTCAGCAAATATAGATTTGTACCTGTACATCTGCACACCCCGTTCAGGCAGACAGATCCCCCGTTTGCGCGTTCATGCACTTTCAGGTGCACTCGAGAAAGTGACAGCGTTAAAAACAAATGCTGAATCAAAGCTTTTTAAAACCTGAATCAATATTGGAGTTACTTTTGCACGCTGAAGGAGGGATGACACCATGGCTGAGGTATTTCTGTTAGACAGGTAATGTTCTGTTTTAAAAGTAATTTAGTCACGCAAAGCTGATGTAGATGGTGTTGTTTTACAAATGGGTTATATGCCCAGAAGTGTTGTTCAGCCCCTGAAATCTTCCGGCAAAAGATTGATGTGACTATTTTCAATTTATAAGGGATCTTTTAAAGTATCAATAATGTCGATTTTTGTTTTATTTAACAACAAAACATTAGTAAATAGCACTATTCCGCCTAGCTTTACTAAAGTAAAGTTGGTTTTATATTCACATAACATTAATTCATTTTTGAACAATGACAACCTATGATGCGGCGTCTATATTGTTTACCATGCTACTTTGAATATTCGGTCTGAAATAGCATGTACAGTAAGTATGGCTTAGTAATAAGTGTAATTCCTGCACCCGGCAGGCCAAAGAATGGCCACTTTAGGACAAAGCGGCATCCTTGCATGCATAAATATTGCACATTATGACAAGTTTTGCTACAGTAGCTACACAATTGAAAATGTGCTAGATATAATGCAGTTTTTCATTCGAAATTGTAGTATTATAACATACTGTAAAGTCTTCTAACTGGCGAATGACATGATCAAGTGGGTTGTCTACTTTCATCTTTACGGTGCACATTCGTGACTTCAGGAGGTGTGCCTTTTACTGTCGCCTCACAGCAAAAAGGTTGCTGGTTCGATTGCTGGCTGGATCAGTTGCCATTTCTGTGTGGAGTTTGCATGGTCTGTTGGCGTGTGTTTCCTCCGGGTGCCCCAGTTTACCCCGAAGCAAATAATGGATGCACTATAGGTGAATTTAATCAACTAAATTGGCCATAGTGTGTGAATGAGTGTTCCCCATCCGCCGTGTAAAACATATGCTGGATAAGTTGGTGGTTCATTCCGCTAAGGCAACCCCTGATGAATAAAGGGACTAAGCCGAAGGAAAATTAATGAATGAATAATAATGTACTGCTTTGTTTGTCTACAGATTATCTGTTCAGTTTCAGATTATCTGTTTAGTTTCACATCCCAAATATTGTCTTATAATTAAACATGAATAAATTTGGTTATTTTTTTGAAAATAAAAAAGTTTCTATTTTGTTACCTAGCCTGAAAATTTGATGAAATTCTACCCAAGCCTCTTACCTGCAACACGTTTGAGCCTGCCCCGAAGGCTCTGATTGCTGAGCACAGACACAGACACTCAAACTCACACCGTTGGTTAAGGCAATGTTGCTATATCGGTAAGCACAAATATTGTAATAAAGGCGCATAGATGGTTTACATTTTGAGCTGAACCAGACTTCTAATGCATCAATTAAAAGTAAGATGGGATATTTTCATTTTTTACCATCGACAAATTACTCACGTCAGAAGAGCACGCCGAATAAACGCCACTTGCGTCATACACCACATGACACAGAATGACCAATGCTCGATTGGCTTCATCCTGTACACGGAACTGATTGCGGATTTCTTTGGCAGGTTGGTCATGTTTACATTTCTGTTCTGTTTTGAGTGAAAATCATCACATCTTAATCGTGCAATAAGTGAAACAGCTTAATAGGATTACGCCTGGCTTTCATATGTAAATTTGCAGTGCTTATTGAACACCATAGCTGCGCTGGGAAAACTCGCGGTAGCTATATGGGTCTGATGTATTTTAGTAAATAGAATACATCAGATTATCATTTAGTACATTAACATAGTACAAATTATGTTTTGTGCATATGATAGTGCTGTTGTTAGGGTATAGAAGTTCAACAACAGTCATTCCCTTAAGAAATAACTTGATATAACTTACTCAAAATTTAAATATGAGGAAGCTTATATCTATAATTTTTTTCATTTCACGCCAGTTGTATATATTGAGATACAACAAGAAATAGAAAACTATGATATATTACATACCAAAACGTGTAGTGATATTTTTAAAGCTCAATCATGTGAAAAAGTGTACCCACCCACAGCAGATTACAACATTTACAAATTACAAATACAATGCAGTAAAAATGTAATTACATTTTTGTAAAACAAAAATAAAACATTTAAATATCATACAACCATGAATGACACCACATCTGTAGAATGACTAAAGCTAAGCTTGACAGCTTTGTCTATATAAAAACTTATCCATGACTGCACTATTTTTATTTCTTTCATATTTTCTATGTATAGCCCATGGCAGACCAAAATGGGCACATTGATCTTGGGCCTCCAAGGGACACAGCTGCAGGTTTAGGCTTCCCAGGTCCTCCTCCACCCATCTACACCTGCACTCTGACTCCTGAACTAGTAGCCAAGGCTCGGGAAGAGCTTCAGGAGAAGCCCGAATGGAGGCTGCGGGATGTCCAGGCATTACGGGATATGATACTGAAAGACCACCCTAATCTGAGGACCCGGTTAGATGATGCTTTTCTGCTGCGCTTCCTCAGGGCCAGGAAGTTTGATTATGACCGGGCCCTTCAGCTTCTCCTGAATTATCATGCCAGCCGGAGAGCCTGGCCTGAAGTGTTCCAGGACCTGAAGCCCTCCACAGTCAAGCACGTCCTAGACCTGGGCTTTCTCACTGTCCTGCCCAGGCCAGACCCTCAAGGACGCTACATACTGTGTTTACGACCAGGTATTGAATGAAATAAGCTAGATTTCTGCTTATAGAGTTGAGTTAACAAGATGTTTATCTGACATGAAAACTAAACATTGGGTTTGATTTATTAATAATAAAAAGTCTAATACACTTGTAAAGCCTGGTATAAGAAGTAAATGTAACAGCTTATTGGATCCTGGGTACTACAGGCTACAAAATATTGACAAAATATTTTTTGTCTGTTATGATCACTGTGTCACTTTGTCAAATTATTATTTTTGCCTACTGGACAAGAAACCTTTCAGGCATATGTAAACAAGAGTAAGCAGTTGATAGAAATGGATGTTGTCCTCTATGACACACTATATGATGATATTCTTCTGTCCTGATAGTAATTGTTGTTTTTGAATCACAATGTCAGGCTACATCAAATGGATTGTGCCAAAATCAGACTGATATTGTGTGGTCTGGACCTGCAATTAAACAAAATATGAAAAAAGTTACAACATAAGTTTGCATAATGAAAAGTGCCTATATGCATGGGTGTAACTTGCACAGGGGACAGGGAGGGGCATGTCTTCCCTACTTTTCAAAATCCTGATTGTGTCCACCCACTTTATATGACTTTTTTTTACCTGCATGCCAATCATTTCAAACAGAGGTGAAACACCAAGCATCAGATGACTTAAAAAACATCTGAGTTGGTTAATTCATTATATTATCTCAGGTCAGAATAATGGTATTTCTGTCAGACAGAATATGTCTACACTGCTGATGTTAGTGTAATATTTAGATATTTTTACTGTAATGTAAATATTTTTTTAACTAAAACTAAAAACTGTTTTTTATGCATTAATAAAATAATGATGAACATTTTCATATAATTGGCTCACATATTAATTTTGCTGTTGTCTATATTTTTTTTTTTGCTTTTTGGACAATTTTTGGTTAGTTTGAAATTCATTTTGTTTAATCAGCCCGTTTTCCATTGACTATTGTATCTCCATAGTCCCTAAATAAAGGTAAGTGCAGTAAATTGTATTTAAATCAACAAAAACTTTCCCCTATTCTGTGTCCACCCACTTTTAAAACCAAAGTTACACCCTTACATATATGCATATCAGTTGAACATTATATTTACTAATAATATGTCTTGGTGATATGATATTTAAGTGCTTACAATGAAAGGTCTGAAGTTGGTACTGTAGCAGCCAAACACACATAATGCAGTACAATATAATAATACCTCCATATTCACATTTGAAAAAAAAATGATGGAAAAAAACAGTAAATGTTTAGGTTGAAAAATTACTAAAAATATAACAGTTACTCTTGGTATTACTTTATAAAATTTTATAAAAATCTGTAATGTTTACCATGACCTGAAGGCAACATTACAGGTATTTAATTTATTTTGCTCCCTAAAAAGTCTAAACTAACAATTAGATTATAGAGAAAACTTGTAAAAATGTATATAACAGGTTTTTCAGTAATTGTTCATCACGTTGATAATTTGGAATCATTACAAATTCCTGTATCTGATATGTTAATTAGACTTTATAGGGTTAAGAGCCTATGAAAGAGTTTAGTGCTTTTGTTTTAATCAGAATGACGCTCTTGTTTAATTCATACATTTTTGTCTTTCCCTTTCCTAGGCAAATGGAAGCCTAATGATTACCCATTTGTGGACAACATAAGGGCTATTTATTTAACATTAGAGAAGCTGATTCAGCCTGAGGAAACCCAAGTAAATGGAGTCGTTATCCTGGTGGATTATGCTGGAGTTGGCCTCTCTCAAGCTTCTAATCCAGGTCCACTTTTGGCAAAGAAAGTTGTCGGTATCCTGCAGGTAAATCAATGCAAAACTAGCTCAGCGATTCATTGCATTGAATTTGAGCATCAATCTGCTTATTTTTATTTTGTTTTAGGATGGCTTCCCAATCAGAATAAAAGCTGTAAACATTATAAATGAGCCACGGATCTTCAAGGGTATTTTTGCAATAATCAAACCATTTCTGAAAGAGAAAATGGCAGAAAGGGTAAGTAATCAGCCACTTATCTTGGAATTCGGATTCATTATTCACCTTACCAGATATATTTTCTGACCTTTACTTTTTAAAATAAATAAAACAATACTTGATCATACAGAATTATATTATATTACTGTTATATTATTATTAAATAATTAAAAATTGACAAATGAGTAGAATGTATTGATTGATTAGAAATATAGTGTAAATACCTAAAGATTTAGAATAACAATTACTTAGTATTTTGGGGCTAAAATGTGATAAATATGTACAGTAGTCAACATTCGAAGTGAATCAAAGATGTATATCAAACAAAAAAGTGTTTCAGGGGTAATTAATGTGTCGATGCTCTTTGGGTAAAGGTTTGATAAAGATTAACAGCAACATTTAAAAGTATATAGTCTTATATATTAGTCTTCTGTAAATAAGGGTAAAATGGATGGTAATAAAAAAGCTATTTAAGAACACACATCCAATACTCAATTGTACAAAATATTATTACATTATTATTAAATAATAACAAACTAACAAATGAGTAGGATGTAGCGGTTTGAAAAATAGCAGATAAAACTAAGGGTTTAAAATAATATTAGTTAGTATTTGGGGGCTGAAATATTAGCCTTCTGTAAATTAGGGTTAAATGTAAGGCAGTAAATAAATATTTCAAGAACACACAATCAATACAATATGTAAAAAAGTTACAACAAAAGTTTAGATCGTAAAAAGTGCAATATACAAAATTAATTGAGCTGCATTACACTTTGTTTTATGCTTGCAATCATCTTTTAATCTTTGACCCATTTGTACACATGTATTTCTAGCAAAGCAGTACTAAAAAACTTAAAAAAAAACAAAAAACAAAACAAGGATCTGTCTATTTCCAACAGTACGTCCTGCACGGCTCAGACTTGGCCTCTCTCCATCGAGTCATTCCCCAGTCTGTGCTTCCTCAAGAGTATGGAGGAGTATCTGGAAGACTTGACATGTCCGCCTGGTCCAGAACTCTGCTGGAGGCTGAGGAAGAGTTTGTGGTAGAGTTTTGTCAGCCTGATCCTCTGGAGGGCGTCATAATGCCAGACGCCCTGCTGTTTGAGGGTGAGCAAGGTGGCGCACATGGAGAGGACTCCTTCAGACATCTGCGCTCACAGCTTTATTATTGCTACTGACCTTCTACCGATGTGCAGCTGGTTCTGTTGAAACATTTGCTTAGCTATGACCAATTAAGTATTCACAGGTCACCGTATGGGTCTGACTGTGTAATAGATCTGGTATCGAAAGCCATTCAGATGCTGGAAACTTTACGTATATTCATTGCTTTGGCTTAATCGGGTAACTCTGTACTTTAAAATCTGATTTAAATTCATTATCTGAGCTTAATATTAATAGCCATTGAACAAACATCCTAGGTTTTAATATATATCATATATATCAGTATTTATTTTCAGTTATGCAGGGAGCATAGAAATGTTAAAATGGATGTTTTTAGCTTTACATAATTTTGTGTTATGTCTGAAAAAATGCTTGCCTTATTTTAAGATGAAGGGAAAATGATTAGTATTCATTTAGTTAGTTAATATTTCAGTTAGCACATTGAAAATACCCCAAAAAAAGAAAAAAGAAAATGCTGTCATCATTTTCTCACCCTCCACTTATTTCAAACCTGTTTGAGTGACTTTTTTTCTGTTGAGCACAAAAGAAGATAAGATGAATAAAGTCTATACTAGAGATGCTCTGATCGATTACTACTCAGTGATCTGGCCGATCTCATATACCAATCACAAGTGTTTGTATTAGCTTGAAATGAGTAAATGTTTGAACGACATTGCATGTATTTAGGCTTTTTTACCAATAAGAACTAAAAGAACTTCTGTGTTTTTGACAATGTTGCAAGTTCACTAAAACCTGGCTGAAAATATTGCATAAATAGAACAAAAAACATATATAAATTTAACATGAATATTTACTAATATACCTTCTCGTAATATTGCAGTAAACAGTAGTTTATAGGCCTGTTTCCTTTTAGTAATGATTTATAGGTGTGCATTTTAATTTTTTGTTCATCAAATATGGGCTGCTAACTTTTTTCTTGATTGAGACACGTTGAATTCTTCTTTTATCATTTGCAGTGTTTCCAAATCTTATTGTTTGTCTTTTTTTTTTTTTTACATTTTTTTGTTTTGTTTTATCTATTTTCTGTTGAGCCGCTTCTTTCCATGATATGTTCACACCTATATTGCTGAAAGAGACATATTTAAGGGATTATATGCAGCATCCTTAATTTATTCTCATAAGTAAGGAGAGATATCCACTTAAGTATACCTCGAGGAAAATTATGCATTATTAAGCTTAAAACATTACAATCGGTACTCGGTATCAGCCGATCACCTCGACAAGGAATCAGCACTCGGTATCGGCTGCAAAAATCCTGATCGGAGCATGCCAATTCCATAGTATTGTTTTTCCTACTATGGTTGTCATTAACTAATGTTTCCACCATTATTAAAATATCTTCTTTTGTGTTCAATAGAAAATGAAGAATCCAAAAAGGTTTAGAACCAGTTGACAAGTAAATTATTTCATCCTAACAGCCCTAAAATGAATTTGTAGTTTTGATGTATTTTACTGTTCGTGATTGTGCAATACTACACTAATTCACGGTTGACTTTTTGTAGATCTTTGTCATAAGCTTTAAAATTAGCGGGACACCAGATAGTTCTTCATTAAGATATTGTGAGCTTATACTTTACATCACAGCTATATAGCATTTTTAAAGTTGAGTGGCCAAATACTCAATGTGTGTTTGTATATTGTCATTTGCCAAAAACGAATAGACATTAACTTTTAATGTTGTACAGACCCTGTATAGATACCTGTTTTTTATTATGATTTAAAAAGTAAAATAAAATGAAGAGATGTTATTTCATTTTTATCAAAGCACATTTATGCCTTAGTTTCAAGCCTTACGTTTGGTGTAAGTATTGTATCCATATATATTATAATTTAAGTATATTTTATTATTTCTGTTTGTGGAAATGGTCAATAAACACTGTAATTTTCAGAATTAAGAGTTCATTCTGTTATTTTTGTATTGCTAAAGAGTGATGTGCAGTACTCTTATCTACAAACATGTCATTTTCTCCCCTACATATTGAACAACAGAAATATTTGTTTTGAAAATAAATCTTTATTTTACAATCAATGGTTCAGTAATGGAATAGTACTTGTTAGCCAGCTCTTTAATGAGGAAGGTTTATACTGCTGAGATTCACAAAATTTCTCACAAAATACAAAATTCCAGTAACTCCTAAAGAGTTTGCAATAACTATAGATGCTATTCCTTACCTGGATTATTATACATGCTTTTTAAAAACAATACAATATCACAAGGGACTTTTAATATTCCAGAACCAGTTAATATGACTATTGGTGAAATTTGTTTTGCTTTAAACAAAAATAAAAACTACAAAATAAGAGCTCTGTTCCTTGAAAAATACTCTCTCTACCCCTCCTGATATCTCAAATTGGAACAGTCTTTTTGACCATTTCAACTGGGAAAATATGTGGTCCATACAGCAAAGTTTTTTTTATTACTAATAAGTAGGCCCACACGGAATCTGCGTGTGCAGAAATACACAGATTTCTGCAGATTTTTAGCCCATCGAGTCTATTTATTTACTTGTGTAAATTTATATGTATTCAGTTTTTTTTTTATTAATTTCAGTATTAATATTGACTAATATGAAATTGTTCATATGATTTATTTACAATACAGTTTGTAAAGTAATATTTTCTGTCTTTTAGCAGATATATGAGAGACATTCTTTGTTTATCAAATAAGTGGATCTAGATGGATTTGCATTGAAAACATTAAATAAAAGTTAAAAAGCTTGTATTTTTTTATTTCTTAAGTTTTTGGTTAAGTTTTTTTTTTCAAAATAATTCGGCATAAATACGCAGATTTTTTTTTTTTTTACAAAATTCTCAGTAGAAATAGCAAATAAATGTCAGCAGATTCTGTTTGGCCCTGCTAATAAGGTAATGGAAGCCTGTGTTGCAACGGAAATATCTTTCAAATTATTACATAACATTTCCTAGTCAAAAAACTTCTTAAAGAGATTATTTGGATCAGACTGTCAGAATAACGCTGAAACTCTTCCTTGCTTATTTGCATCTATGCTTCAGAGAATTGTTCCAAAAGTTATTATTTTTGCTTTTTTTATACATATTTTAATGTCCATTTTATAATAACCTTTATTCCTTTTTATGCAGATTTTATATTGATAAATGTGAATTTTCAAATTGCAAGCCAGCATTTATAGCATTTATACAAAAGATTAATATGTATAATCTTTTAAACCTCTAAATTGCTGTTATCTTCTTTACTCACAATTTCTTTATCTATTATATCTCTATCCTCAGATCAGTTAACCTATTGATATTTATTTATTTATTTATTTATTTTTTGTTTGATTTCTGTTGTTTTTTTCATCAGTTTTTTTTTTTTTTATTCTTTATTGGTACCATTGTAAATAGTCTAATGCAGTGGTTCTCAAACTGTGGTACGTGTACCTAGTGGTACGTGGGCTTCCTTCTAGTAATGGTATGCAGAGGAATCCAACATGTCATATGTACTTGCGACATATATTTCAGAATTTATCAAAAATGGTTCATATATGAATATGATGACATATAGTCTATATTTATGAGGTCCACGAAACATTTCAGTTTTGATGAATATGATACTATTGGTTAACACTTTACATTTAAGTACAGGAGTTTTTTTTTCTTTTTTTTTTTTAAACTTTTACTTTTTAAGAACAGTAGCCTACCATTTTTTATGAACTTATAAAAGCACATTTTAATTTAAACGTTAACATTCTATTTTGTTTGTTTCTGTGTCTTTTTACATATAAGCACAGTACAGTGTTAACTATTTAACTATTAATAATGTTTAAAGTGGTTGATAATAATACATATTCTTCATAATAGTAGTTAATCTGCCACGTTTTTAAACCGTGGAGAGCTGTTGCTGCTTTACTGGGCCTACTACATCATGTCGAAGCATGCTAATAGAACTTTTAATTTGCCAGTAATCTGGGTTAAGCGCTTCCGGTGAACTTTATGTCAAAAGAAAAATCTGCGCGCTTAAGGTCAGTTTTCTTTAAAAATCAGCGATCTCCACTGGCTGAGTGATATCCGATATAAAGTGGGTCTCAAATTGTACAATAATCTCTGCATTAAATTACATTTTCCCCGCCATGTCTTTATAATATGAGCATTTATTTTACCCCAGTAACGCTATATTCAATGGAGCTTCTGCGCTAGCCTGCCGATTCTGACGAGCGAGTGCGAGTAAAAGGCCTTTGTCTCGTTTCACGCTTTAACAACTAAATGAATGCCAAAATTTGTTTAACTGGATGTATTTTAATTATATTACAACATCGATGCTGTAAATGGAACCGTATAAAATGAAAAAAAAAAAAAAACTCACAAAAACAGGTCACCGGAAGTTTCTAAGTAACGTTATGGGAACAAACACTAGCTCGGCACATACCCAATTATATTCATCAGGCTCTATATTCTACTGCATCCCAGAATATTACACAGCACCAAAAATGTATATATACATATTAAATACATTTTATGTTTTTGTCCACAGCAGAACGCAACTCGCCGTGACGCAGATTCCCGAGTCTTTGTGCTCCAATGAGATGAGCCCTCGTCAAGCGCTCACCATGACAACAAGACACAGCAGTGACGTGTCTTGTAAAAATTTGCATCTGCATTCCTATAAAGCTCGTCGGTTCTCTCTCAGCAATTTCAGTTCGCTCGGTGGTGCTGTCTGTATTTGACTAAGGTGAGTACGAGTGGAGCCACACCAATCCTACGAAGTCCGCTTCGTGAAGCTTCACTCGGGCCCGTAGTTCCTTGCGGTTTGCGTACATAAAAGCAATATCGCGAAGAACATTACGTGTTTGTTGCTCGAAACGTGCCGCCGAGCAACATTCAATGAACACTGGCACGGCCTGGCGCCCGGTTTGGCCGTGCACTCCCTGGAGCGAGGGAACAATCAAGCCCTGAGGACCCTCAGAAAACACTGGAGGCCGGTACTGGGACCTCGCTGCGAGGGTTATGGTTATCGTCTATTTTAAACTATAGTTTCAAACTTTAGTTTACTATAGTTTGAAATAGAAACCATGGTAACTGTAATGATTTAACTTTATGCAAAGAGCTTAGAATGACCAAGAGGCGACACTCAATAGAACGTTTCACTGTGAAAGCGATCGGCCGTCCATTGGATCTCATTGCTGTCGCGATGGCAAGCAGCTGCTTTGTTTTTAAATAATTTATTCAAAAAGTGCCTTAAAGCTGAGATACAACAGAGAGAATACAAACTTGTTGATAAAATGGCCACCGCGCCATCTAGTGTCTGTTTCTCAAGTTGTACTAGACTAGAGTGTCGCCTCTTGATGATTTTGTGCTCTTTGCTCTATGTCTGACTGTTGTAATGTTTTACTTTGTTTTTCAGCTGAGTTGCTGTGCAAAGGACTGACTATTGAAAACAACAGTTGAAGACAACCGCGGGTTATATTAACGAGCGCGCGCATTATGTTTCCGTGCTGTTTTCTGAAAGTTTATCTTGTTTAGATAAGTTTGCAGGTCAAACAAAATAAACTTTACTCTATACACCTGACTCGTGTTTTATTTGTCTTCTACAGCAATTCACAGTCATATAAGTCTGTTGAATGCATTTCTATGCAACATGACTTGACAATACAGTAGTCTAACAAATAGTTATTATAAATGTACCTTCATTAGTCAACAGGTGTAGGTAATAAAAAGTTAATCAAATATGTCCTAATATATAACGGTAATGTTATAGTTGTTACATAACTGTATTTATTATTATTCTGTATGTTAAAAACCAGCAGATTTACTATATATTTAACATGTCATGAACTTACTGTTATTCAAAATTTGCTTAATAAGATGTCTTAAGGCAAGAATGGGTTTTGGTTTTATGCCAAACTACTGTAGGTTTTAGGTTTAATACAGCAGATATAGGCTACCTATATCATAATATTGGTAGTCTGAGTTTTTTAATGACCCAAATCAAGTAAAACGTCTCTTACTCAAGTACTTTTAGCATGCAAAAGTCAAATTTAGCTATATAAAATAGTTTCCTACAACAAAATTTTGTCTTGTGAAAATGACCAGTGGTGGTGAGAAAAAAAGTTTATGTCGTTTTATATATATATATATATATATATATACGCTACACTATGTATTTAAATACTGGTCAATAAGGTGGTACTTGATAAAAAAAAAAGTTTGAGAATGACTGGTCTAATGATTATTATTGTAAATGATGTGTACCATCTCTGTCTTACAATAAATGTTAAAAAAGAGTGAAGTGCAGTATGATGTTTACCAGAAGATGGAGACATAAACCACATGGCGAAAACTTCATCCACACACTTCCTTTCTTTAGATGGCGAAAGGAATGGTTTATCTTCGCAGGTGGTGTAAATCATCTTAAAATCATACGTACACAGTTAAAACACCAAAGTAATATCTTCTTTAAAGTATAATGCTTCCAGACGTGATTATTCTACTTAATTAGCTATGTATTCCTACAGCTGTGACTAAGTTGCCACATATTTATGATACAAACAACCACGCAAGTGTGGCGTTTTAGCGGAAACTGACGTTACCATGGCAATTTTGTAAAGGTATTCAGCAGGCGAATTCACCTACCTGCACGCCAGCTTGAAGACTTTTCAGAAACCTCCCTAAACAAACATTTTCAATATACAAATTGTCTGCATTTTACCATACTAGAAGCTCCGCGTGAACAATGCCAAGTGCTGTTGTTGGTGAGAGAGCGGGCGGAGGGTGATTGGCTGTGGGATCTCTCCATTTTGGAAACAGCTGTTTAAAGCCCTGTCCCTCTTTCTCATTGTGTTAAACTGACTGTCAGAGGAGCGTTGGATTTGACTGGGAATCTCGGAACAGATCAATTGAAATCTATCAAATCGGTGCGGGAATGCGGGAAGAGCGCTTG